CTGTCGGGCTCTTCCTCCTGCCCCTCTATCATTCCACCAGCCGCCTCCTCAAGCTCCTGCCACAGGGCCTCCGAGACCCCACCGAGGCTCTTCGACGGCAGCGGGTGAAGCCCCTTCCTCTGCCTCCCCAGCTGCTCCTTGCAGCCCTTTCCCTCTCCTCTGCACTCCTGGAAACGGAGCTCCCTCCGCCTCTTCTTCACCTTCAAGTGGCCTTGGGCGCCTGAAGCTTCGCACCTCTGGCATGCTGGCCCTCGCTCGCCCTGCTCGCTGGTGAACTCGCCCAGGTGGTGGCCCATCCACCTGATGATTGGCTGCAGCTCTTCGCCTCCTGCCTCCTCGCCCTCTGCCTCGCCAGTCCTCCGCAGGCTCGCCTCCGCCTCCTCTTGCCTTCGTTGCCTCCTCGGTGGCCTGGCTCAGGTTCGCGGGCCTCTCCTCGAGCTCGATCGCCGCCTCGTTCGGGACCCCCCCGCGTCTGGCGGTTGCGCCTGCCACCAGGCCGACTGCCTGCCTCGCCAGGGACTGGGCGCCCTCGGCCGCCGGCCCGCGCTCGGGCCAACGACCCCCAGGCGGCCGCTCCCGCCGTGGCGTGGTAGTCAGCTTCCTCGCTGCCTCCCCCCCGCCTCCACCGCTCGGTCTCCGTCGCGCACTTGGCCCTGGACCTGTGCGCCTCCACCTTCGTCGCCCTCACCTCGCCCCGCCCTCCCAGCTCGCTCCGCCGCGCCTCGTGCAGGGGTGCTTCCACGCCGCGCCTGTCGCTGGCGCCCCTGCGGATGTCCGTCGCCTGTCGGGTCGGGCCCGCGCAGTCGCTGAACGCCTCGAGCGGCGCCGCCGAGCAGTTCGAGAGGAAGTGGAACGCGTAGTCCTCGCCGTCCCTCGTCAGCTGCAGCGGCTCCCACGCGAGCGGCACAGTACAGCGCACCGCCCCCAACACGAGGCCCATTTCGCCGTACTGCACGATGGCCCAGCCTGCCCTCCTGAGGATCTGCTCCGCGGGGTCCGACGCCGACCCATCCACGAAGACCCTCCCCTGGAGGTAGCCATTTCGCGGCCGCTTGACCCAGTTCACCTCCTCCAGGTCGGGTCTCTCGTGCGGTGCCATCCAGGCCGGCGTCACCTCTGGGAACACGCCCCTGGCGAACCTCTCCCCATCCTCCTCTCCTTGCTCCAGCGCCCTCCTCGCCGCTGACCTCACCAGCTCGGGGCGCACACCTCTCCTGGAGGCCCGCGCCGCATCGCGGCCGAAGTGGCGGTGCCACAGCATCTCCCTCTGCCTCCTGCTCCTTTCGCAGCTGTCTTTTGAGGCCAATCCTCGGTCAAGCAGCCAAGCAGCCTCGCCCGGGTCCACGTGGATGCTCCTGCGGCGTACCTCGGCGCCCCCTTGTGCTTGATGCCCCGCGTGTCGGCCTCGTCCTCAGCCGTGCGCTCCTCGAAATAGTGATCCCGGCTCTGTCCGTGCTGAGCCTCGGCGCGACAGCTGGGCTGACTGCGCCCGCCCGCGGCCGCCTCCTGCTGAGCAGCCGCTCGGCCTCCTTCCAGCGGCCCTCCGTCGCCCCCCTGGGGAGCGCCCTGGTCGGCTCCGCCGCGCGCGTCGCCCTTGCGCCAGCGCCCTCGGCGGCCACCGAGGCTCCTGGGTCTCGCTGGCCTCCCCAGCGCGACGCTCTGAGGCCGCAGGGTGCGCCGGCGCGCCTCCAGACGGCCCGCCCCTCGGCCTTCGCCGCCTGGATGCGGAGCTGCTGCAGCTCGCGGTTCGCTGCGCCCGTCACTCCTGCCCCCCCCAGATCGCGGTCGCCGTCGGTCCTCGCGTCCTGCTCTCCTGTCCTCCTCAACCTTCCGTCGTTCGTGTCGCAGCCGGTGTTCCTTGCTCCCGCCGCCCTCTCAAGCGCGGTGCCCGAGTCCGCGAACGCGAGCATCGAGATCCTGGCCGTCTCCTCGCCTCCTGCCACGAACCTGGTCTTGTGCCACGCCGCCGCCAGGTCCTTCGCCTCGAGCAGGTCCACCAGCCTTTGCATCGCCTGGGGGAACTGCTTCCTGACGTGCTGCGCCCTGCCTGCCGCCTGCGCCAGCACGTCGTCCACCACATTCGGGTACGCCTCCCCGCAGTTCCTGTGAGCCCACTCCTGGGGGAGGCACGGGTCCATGTTCCAGTCGCTTCCGAGTATCCACGGCCTCCTCTGGCCTCGGACCTGCCCTCCGATCCCCTCCAGCAGCTGCGCGTTCCCCTCCAAGCCGACGCCGTGCTCGAGGCACACCGACGCCAGGGGCACTTTCACCTGCAGGCCCAGGCCCAGGCCCACCTCCGCTGCGACGCACCTGTGGCTGCAGTGCTGGAGCGTGCCCGCCTGCTTGCTGCCTCTCGCCTTCGTCATGGGCACCGCCGTGCCGCCGCTGGTGCCCAGGGCACCTGCTCCTGTTGACTCCGCCCTTCCCATGGCTGTCTTCCGCGCTAGCCTGCGTGCCCAGGTGCTCGCCCTCCTGGGTGCCAGGTTGGCCTTGCCTCGGTGCTCTTGCGCCAGCGCGTGCTCTGGCTGCGCCTCCTCTGGCACTCTGGTTGCCAAACTCCAGCGGTGGGTGTTCGCCGTCCAGGCCATGACCTCCTGGTCCCGGGCCCTCGGCCCCTCTCCTAGCGCCCGACCTCCCCCCCTGGTCTTGCTCCTAGGCTTGGCGCCGCCTCTTCGCCTTGGTGAGGCCCCTTGGCGGCACCTCTCGCTGTGTCGGCGCATCCTTCCGATCGCCTCATGCCCGCTGGCCCCGCCGGGGGCCTCCGCCAGCGCATGCTGCCCGTCCGTGCTCCTCCCCCGGGGCCTCCTCCCCACCTTCCGCCGCCACCTTTGGGTCGGGCATGTCCCTCTACAGGAGGAATATTCAAAAATAGTAGAAAGATCGTATGGGGATGATTTTTGGACTATCTTTGATGATTTTTTGGAATACTATTTTATATGCTTCATTTTCCTCCAGAATCCGCCTGTAGGAGGACATGCCCTACCTAATGCCATCTTGCCGCCGACCGCTGCTGGTGCTGCCGCCGCCCCTGCTTGCCCGATGCGGGCCCGCTCTGCGCACCTCTTCCGCGCGGCGCCCCAGCCACCGCTTTTTCCCCCCTCCGCCGCCGAGGGCGGCCCTCCTCGTAGGCCGCCCCCGACCTCTCCTCGCTGCCGCCGCCGTCTGTTTTCAAGGAGGGGAAAAACACAGAGGCACAATGAATCATCGACTGCCAGGAAGATCTAGGAAAATATGGGAAGTGTGTGAGGGGGGAAGACCAACATTCAGAAACTATGGGAAAATCGGAGGTTGGGCGATGTGAACTGAAGTGGCCCCACCCGGGAAGCCGGTTTCGGTTTCGGTTCGTGTCGTGCGTGCGGGCGAGGCAAAGCTGCGCGAGTTCCTGCACTGGTAGAGGGCATCTATTGCCAAACGGGCCGCCCCCCGAGCGCCGAGCGTGGCCCCAAGTTGTCCCGGCGGTTGTCCCGGCGGTTGTCCCGATGGTTGTGGTTGTCCCGATGGTTGTCCCGATGGTTGTCCCGATGGTTATCCCGATGGTTGTCCCGATGGTTGATATATATATATATATATATATATGTGTGTATATGTATATATAGATCTATACATTCCATTTATATAGATAGATCGATGTTGTAAGATGTTGTCCCGATGGTTGTCCCGATGGTTTGTCCCGATGGTTGCCCAGGTGGTTGTCCCGATGGTTGCCTCGATGGTTGACCCGATGGTTGTCCCGATGGTTGCCCCGATGGTTGTTCCGATGGTTGTCCCGATGGTTGTCCCGATGGTTGTCCCGATGGTTGTCCCGATGGTTGTCCCGATGATTGTCCCGATGGTTGTCCCGATGGTTGTCCCGATGGTTGTCCCGATGGCGGTCCTGGTGGCTGTCCACATTGTTGTCCCGATGGTTGTCCCGGTGGTTGTCCTGATGGTTGTTCTTATGGTTCATAGATAGATTGAAATATATAAATAGACAGATCGACAGGTGTATATCTACATCTATATATACATATATTGGTTGCTGGATGGGTAGATTGATATATTGATATATTGATCGCTTTATAGATTGATGTATTGCTATACTTATGGATTGGTTTATTGATCAATGAATACACTGATACATAAAGCGAAATATATACGGATAATAGATCGATGGGTGTCCCGAGTCGATAATTCGATAGATGGGTCGATTAATAGACGGGTAGATATGCGCGACAATAGGACATGTGAAGAAACCACCACGGGACCCAGAGCCATCGCACATCGACCGCCTCCCCCTCCCCCCCCACCTCCTTATCACCCGTAGGGTGGTCCTATAGGGAATCGTGGGATTTGTGTGTATTTCTTTGTGTGTCCCTGGGCGTTCCGTCTTGCCCACCCTCCTACCGCCGCCCTCGCCGCCGCCCTTCCCCCCTCCGCCTCCGAGGGCGACCTGCCTCTCCCAGGCCGGCCCCCGACCTTTCCGCGCAGCCGCCGCCGCCGCCAAGGGCCGCCTGCCTCGCGCAGGCCGCCCCCTCCCTCGCCTCGCCCTCCGCGAGGATCCAGTCTGCCGTCCTGACCTCCAGGCGGTCCGCCATCCTGCGCCGCTGTCGCCGCCGAGCTGCCCTCTGGGAGCGCGCTCCTCCAGGCGCTTCTGCTCGGCCTGCCGGATGGGAAGGCCCACCCGCTCGATGATGTCCACGGGCTGGTCTCCCTCCCTCTCCCTCCCTCCTGTCCACGACCTGGGCGCGCTGTCGCCCAGGGGCCGCCTGAACTGCCCCCGCGCCTCGTTCCCGCACCTCGTTGAGCAGGGGCTCGTGCGTGGTCATGGACGGCTCCCGCGTATGAGGGGGGGCGTTCTGCTGCTGGTCTGTGCGTGGTCACGAATAGCTCCCGCGTGTGAGGGGGGCCGTTCTGCTGCTGGTCTGTGCCCAGGGCCTCGAACATGGCCACGGTTGCCCCTCTGTGCGTACGCCCACTCCTTCAGGCGTCTCTGCACATCTCCTCCGCCATGCCCCCGAGCGTGCCTGAGCCCCTCGCCGCCTCTGCCCATCTCCTGTGGGCGGGGAGCTGGAGCGCAGCCTCCACGCACCCCACCCACCAACCCAGCTACTCGCCTTCGCCCGCGTTGGCTTCGCCCAGGGACGTGACCCACCTTCCCGCACACCTCCGAAGGCAGTCCGCGAATCTGGTCTCGTCCGTGACTGCCATCAGCGGGTAGGGTGGCTTGCCCATGTCTGGCGGTTGCTTGCTCTGCGCACCTCCCCCTCCCTCGCCGCCCGCGCTGCGCCCAGCACGTGGCGACTCTGAACACGGGGTGTTCCCCAGCGTGGCCTCCTCGAGACCTTGCCCACCACAGCGTGGCGACTTCGAACCCGAGGTGCTCCCCACCACTGGGGCTTCCTCAGGATTCGGCCTCGCCCCGAGATCGCGCCAGCGTCCATCCCGCTGCGCCTCTCCCGCCCACACCGTCGCCGCTGCCGCAGCCGCGCCCGGGGGGACCGCCTGCCCAGGCTGCCCTCGGCCTCTCCTGGGGGGCGCCGCGCCGGCGGCCCCTCCCCCCTCGCCTCCTGGCCTCCTCCTCGCTCCGCTGGGGCCTGCCGAGGCCGCTGTGCTGGACCTGGCCGAGGTCGCGGTCCTTGCCCTGCTCCTGCTCGCTGTGCCTGGTGGGTGGTCACGCCGCGCGCGCGCGTCGCGAAAGGTGCGGTCGGGCCCGAGGAGCGGTGCCGCAAAGCCCAGGGACTCCAGGTCGGCCCATCTCGCATCCTCGACATTATTCGGCGGCGAGCGAGGGGGGGAAGTGCCAGGGATAATGCCTTCTGAGAAGGTTCGGAGGTCCCCCGGCCTTCTGAGAAGTTTTCGAAGCCTTCCCCGAAGACACTGAAAACCTCTCAGAAGGCGCGCGGGCTTCTGAGACGTCCGGCCGCCTCTGAGAAGGGCTCCCGTGTCGGGCGACTTCGTAGGACCGTCCGCGGTCTGCGTCCTCCTCCTCCTCCACCTCCTCCTCCTCCTCCTCCTCCTCCTCCTCCTCTTGTCCCTCCTCCTCCTCCCCTCCTCCTCCTCCTCCTCCTCCTCCTCCTCCTCCTCCTCCTCCTCCTCCTCCCGCGACCGCGCTCATGCTGAGGTTGAAGGAGAAGCCCCGCCGTGCCCCGGCCCCGCCGCCCCGCTCTCGCCGCCTCTGCCGCCCTCGGTGCTGCGCGTCCGCGGCCCTCCTTGCCGCGGCCTCTGCCGCCCCTCGGCGCCGCCCGAGGGCCCTCCTCTTCGGGCTTCTCCTCTGCCTGCTCCTCCTCGGGCTTGCCTCCTGGCGCCGCTCCCAAGGCTCCTGGGGCCCGCTGCCGCTGCCGCTGGCGCCTCCTCTGGCCTTCCGTAGTCTTCACCTTGCACCTTCCCCTTCTTGGATGCCCCTCTCGGCCTTGCCCGTGCTTGCCCGACCCTCTGCTCGAGCGCCGCGGCCTTCCGCTCCGCCTGCTCGAACAGGACGACGCGCGCACCTGCTCTGCCTCCGCCCTGCGCGCCTTGGCCTGCTCCAGCGCGCTCTTGCCTTCGGCCCGGTACTGCTGCAGCTCCGGCCCGAACCGCTGGCAGTCCGCCGTGGCCTCTTCGTCGTCGACCCCGTCAAGCTCCAGCAGCAGGTCCTCGGGCACGTCGGAGCCCAGGAACTTCTCAGCCGCCGCCGCCGCCTTGGCGCCCTCAGGTCCGCCGCCCGCCACCTCGATGGGCTCCTGGATGTAGGCATGCGTTGGCCTTCTTGAGCTCCTCCTTGGTGGCCGCGTAGGCGTCCGCCGCAGCATTCAACTCGGCCTCCACCTCCTGTAGGTGCTGCCGTGCTTGCCGCCTCTTGGTCTCCTTGGCCATTGGCCACGGGCACCTGGCAATGCTGCGTCGCTTTGCCGCTGACCAGCTTGAGGTGAGCGCAGGCGTCCAACTTTGCCCCCGCCTCGGTTGCCGGCTGCGCTTTGTGGGCCCCGCAAGCCTGCGCGGCTCCTCCAGGGCCTGCATCTGGTCGCCCCTCTCCACCGCCTCCAGCGCCGCCTGCAGGCCTCCTGCCGGCAAGGCCGCCGTTGGGTCCTCCCGACCTCCCGTCGGCTTGCCTCCTCGGCTCCAGCCTCGGCGGCGGGAGCCCGACGCCTGCCTCCGGCCCACGGGTGAGCCTTGCCGACCTCGACGCAGGCTCCGCACGTGCAGTGCCCGCCGCTGCCGAGCAGCAGTGCCATCCTGCGCCCAGTCGCGGCAGGACCTTGCACACCGCGTGTGTGCCCGCCTTCGCCGCCCTGCCCTTGCGTGCACCTCGCGTCCTGGAAGGCGCGGTCGGGCTTGAGGAGCGGGCCCGCCAAGCCCATGGCCTCCAGGTTGGCCCAGCTCACATGCTCCTCCTCCTCCTCCTCCTCCTCCTCCTCCTCCTTCTCCTCCTCATCCTCCTCCTCCTTCTCCTCCTCCTCCTCCTCCTCCTCCTCCCTTCTCCTCCCTCCTCCCTCCTCCTCCTCCCTTCTCCTTCTCCTCCTCTCCTCCTCCTCCTCCTCCTCCTCCTCCTCCTCCCTCCTCCTCTCCTCCTCCTCCTCCTCCTCCTCCTCCTCCTCCTCCTCCTCCTCCTCCTCCTCCTCCTCCTCCTTGCCCCCTG